TCCCTGCCAGGCTTAATACTGATACTTTTCAGTTATTTGTCAATGTAGTGGTATGAAAATGATATCTCAATGTGGATTTTGTTTTCATTTCCCTGACTACTCATGAAACTTAACACCTTTTCTATTGTTTATTGGTCATATCATGCATGTTTCCTCTTCTGAGAAATGCCCATTTTTACATTAGGCTGTTTTTCTTATTGATTTGTAGTAGTTTTTTATATATTGTGGATAATAGCAAGGCTTCTTAAATGTAAATATGTCATTAGAAGACACACAATCCTTGAACATTGCTATCTCAAAACTATTCTTTTGCTTATTCAGATTAGTCAACATACTTTTTGTTTCTCTTTCAAGCAAATAGATGTTGAGAGTGATATTTTCTGGGCTTTGAGGCTTACGACAGGGCAGTTAGCCAGCTACCAAATCCATACCCTTCAGTAGAGGTTTCAGTACTCTATGTTAGAACATACAGATGACTTAAAATTTAGTGAGTGTATATTAGAATCCCACAGGAAACCAAATTTATCCCAGGTCATTCAGATGAAGAAACTTGAATGAGGCATAACTTGCAGGTCTGAGTTAAGAGAACATAACAGACGATGTTGCTGCATCCTCAAACTAGCACCAGCAGGAAGCCATTACTTCCTTTAGGGCTGAGAGGCAAAGTGAGGAAATGTTGTCTTGGAGCCCACTGAAAGCTGGAAATGTGGAGGAGAGGCTGCCCAGAGCTGTAGCCATGAAAGGACTCACAGCTATTGACAGATAAGCGTCACCAAAGCTGGAAAGGAGCAGGGGAAAGAAAACATCCAACCACTTTTTCCTCCTATCCTTTGAGTTCCAACCAGAGTCTCCCATTGGCCACATCCAAGTGGAAGCCAGTCAGGAAGAGGTCCTGGGTTTTACAGTCCAAAGCGTTAGCCTTCAGGCTCAGAGGAGGGCAACAAGAATGGAAAATGGAACTGGGGGGAGTAAAGACAGCCAACAGCGACCACCAGGACAGTGGGATATAAACCACCTGAGACTTTGTCACAGGAAAAATGACAAAAGGAAGCTCACACAGAAAGGCAGCAGAGTCCTAATCATCAGTGTGCCCCTACAGTGCGTAACAGGGATCATTCTCACTGTCTTAGCTAAATTAACAAGTGTAATGGACATTAAATACAGTTTATCATAACTGGTTGAGTTTAACACACCAAAATTACATGGTAAAACTGAGACATTTTGAAAAGTAACTGTACAAGGGAAATGTCTCCATATATCTGTCTGAGCCTCAGGTTCTTGTCAACAGAAAGAGAATAATACCTAATATGAGCGTTGGATGAGGATTAAATGAGATGATGCATGTAAAGTGCCTAGCTCAGGGCCTGGAACCAGTAGGCATTCAAATGTAGTTTGTTGCTTTTATCATCGTGTGTCATTTACTCATCTTGCTCTAGTTAACATTGCTACAAATGGCTCCTAATTCTGCATAGCTTTCCCATCATGTGACCCACTATTGACAAGTTCTAGAATATTCTAATCTGATCTAGAATATTCAGCCTATGTATCTGCATAGGAATCCACCAAAAACATAATGACACCACCATGTGAACAATAGTTTACAACATAAAGCACTTCCACAATCACTGTTGTGTTAGTTCTTAAAGTAACCCAGGAATAAATATCTTTTTTAAGACAAGGAGACTGAAAGACACATGATGCAGACTTTCTAACTCCAAAATAAGTCTGGCTTCTTACTCCCTCCCAATGGTTCTTTATCTACCATTAAGTATTAAGTTGCACGTTAGGATATATTTTAGAATCAACCAAAAAAGTTAATGTGGACTTTAGGTTGAATCAAGTACTTTTAATGAACTTATATCACAAGTAAATTCTAGCGTTCATTTGATCTTTAATGGTGAAAAGCTAATCAACATCTTGATTATGTTTTACTGTAGTAGCAGGAGAGATACAGCCTGAGCAAAAATAAGGCCCTACCCTTGAGTTGTTCTGATGTGACTCAACCAATAGGGTTGTCTTCTTGGCAGTGAGGATGAATACTCACAGATACCCTGTCCCCTATGTCCTATCATAACCCTACAGATCTCATGCTGGATAGATGCCCTTCCTTGGTACCAAATCCTTAAAAGGAAAGAACCAGGCTTTCCAAATTAACAATGAAATCATCCTTAAAAACCAAGAATTGGAGCAGGGACCTTTTTGTGAATGACGGTGCTCTGTGACTTTGGGGGATCTCGTTCTCATTAGCAGAAAGAAAGATAAAAAGGGAGGAGTAAGATCAGATTGGAATATTTTATTAAAAAGAATTTTTAAAATATAGCCGCTAGACTGGTGGGGGTGGGGTCTACAAGGCTGCCTGAGATCGGATGTGGCAAAACCATACATACAACTGGGCTGCTCTGAGAGGAAGTGGAGCACAGTAGTTTTGAGCAGAGCTTTGGAGTCATACAGACCTGCTCAAGACTCCTGGTGTTGGCACTCACCTGCGGTCTGACCTAAGATTTGTCACATCAGCAGGCTGAGCCTGGTTCCTCGTGCAAGATGTACTTACTAGTGTGCTTACTAGTGTCGACATCTACACACACCGTGTGGTAAGATAATGCACACTCAAGTGCTTAGCGCAGTGCCTGGACATCCGGGCACTCCGTGAACTTTAACCATTAGGATGCTTTGGGCTTTCTCATTGCTCAGCCTCAGTTCATCACACTAGATTCTGCTGCCCCATTCAGATAGTCAGTATTAAGTAAGACCGAATGGAATGAATTACTCAAGCACTCAAATCAATTCTTTAATATAAACAAGAGCATACTTAATGTTGCTACTTAGAGTAGCTAAGGATCAACATACAATAGTCTACCAAATGGTACCATGAGTTTTGAAATGCAAGAAACATATGCCTGAATCTAGGCAGGCAAAACAAATATACACACACATAGAACATACACTGCATGGACTCCAACAAAATGACCTATTTTCACTTCTTACCCCCTAGGCTAGCAAGGATCTGCTTCCTTCTCATAACCACCTTTTACCATAGCAACCCAATTCTTGTCTCTCTTTCCAAGTCAGCTCAACACAACCTTGTTTAGCGACGGTTCCTCCCCTGTGCTGGGCCCTGGGGATACTAAGATGCAGAGGAGTTTCCTCTGCCTTCAAGAACTCACAGTCTAGCAGGGAAGACAGACACTAATTGGCCTCAAGTTCTGCCAGGTCTCTGGGGAGGGCTTATACATGGATTCCTGTTCTCAAGTGTGAGCATACCCAGAGGGAGCCTTTGAGCTTGGTTCCTGCCAAGAGGCAGAGGGCTTATTATGTGTGCATGTGCCCGGGTGAAGGCAAAGCCATTTGAGTGCCGTCTCTGACTTTCCCTTCTTCCTCCCCTTCCACCATGGAATCACCTCCTCTTCCTTCACTTAGCATCAGGTACCTGGGCCCTCCCATTTTCAGACAACCCTCCCACCTCCCTTCAACAAGAAAAAAATGAAAAGCCTGGGGACAGCCAATCTTAGGGAGTAGAAATTCATTCCTGCTAACATGTTAAATACCCCTTTACCCTAAAGCCTGTCCCTGAAAAAACACCTGAATGAGTGATTTTAAACTGTTCGTATGTTGGAGGTGCCTGGGTGGCTCAGTTGGTTAAGTATCTGACTCTTGATTTCAGCTTAGGTCATGATCAGCTCAGTCATGATCAGGTTGAGAGACCGAACCAGCATCAGCCTCTGCACTGAGCATGGAGCCTGCTTGGGATTCTCTCTCTCTTTCTCTCTCTCTCTAAAAAAAAATAAAAAATAAAAAATACTGTTTGTATGTTGGAGGAGAGGGTCAGAATCAACAGGGAAATCAGGTGAGCTGTGTTCGTCTTCCCTGCCCTAGTCAGCTTTCAAGCACTCCAACCTTCTGGACACGCAGTGCAGAGAGCTGGATATAGGTGCTCTCAAGCCAGGCACACGGGAGACACAGAGGTGAGGACAAGCCACAGGACTGGAGGACTGGGGATGTCTGGGTGAAGGCAGACCGGGGAACTCCGGTCTCCAGAGACTAAGCTCCAGGTCCTGGGCCTTTCCTGGATGTGAATGAGAGAAGACAAGGAGAAAAGAATCTGGGGATGAGCACAAACCTGATTTTGGTACTGAGCATAGCCACAGAGGACTGAGCACATAAGGAAACCAGAAGGTTAGGTTGGGTATGCCAATATAAGTTAATCATAGTCATTTATGTCAACTCTCTTACCGTTTGTGTGCAGTGGCCATGTTGTACTAAAACAATGGTGTACTTTAACAAACGTGGTTAGGTGAGCAAATGATATACCTGGTGTCTGCAGTCACAAGTTCTCTCTCAAGTTACATAGACCTCTATTCCCAACTTCAACAGCTGAATGAGATCATTGCTTTTAAGCCATTAGATAGAATGGGGAGTGGGGGTGGGGTGGGAAAGTATCCTCCTGTATTCAGTACTTCCCCTGATAACTTTTTATTATCGTAACAATTGCTGTGCAGTTTGTCTGTTCCCTATGCTTGGATTCTGCAAATTTTTTTTTTCACACGGGTGCTTCATATTCATGAAATGGTAAAAATTATAAGTTCCTCCATTTTTCCCCTTACCCACATGCACATATAGGTCAACACCTTCCCAATTGCTTGGATTGGGTCCTAAAATTAATACATGATGTTGCCATGCCACCTCAGGTTAGCACTCAAATAACAAATTTGCAAAATTACCATCACACGGAAATTTGGGCCTGCTCTTCTTCCCAAGACCTACAGCCCGCTAGGAACCGTGGTGTTGGAAGAAGCAGGCACCAGTTCCTGAAACGAAAGTATGATTTCCTCACTTCTGCTCCATGTGAGCCGTCTGATTCCCTACCTGGAAGGTTTTCCTCCCACCTATTTTGGCAAATGAGGGAGGAATGCTTAGTGCATAACTGGAGTTCTTTGGGTGAAAGGTAGTATCATAAATAAGAAATGCTTTTTTAAATAATTACAGAGAAATCGAGTGACAGCTACTTCAAATGTTAATTTTTAATTAGGCAGTATTGAAGAATCTTATGTTATTGAACTGTATTTTATACACAACGCTGAGTAACAGGTGGATGGAAAATTAATCGCAAGGATAAGGCTATGGTCACTTCAAAATTTGATTACCTGGTAATATCCAGCAGGCAAGTGGTGTTAACAAAATTACTACTTCAGGTGAAAACACTACAGACCTTTGGCAGAGCCCCATAGGGTTACAATTGTGTGTGGGAGCACGTAGGGAAAGACTTTCCAAATGTAAAAACTAATTATATACAAGAGATATACATTTTACTATTATTTAAATAGAATGTGTCTTTAAATATGGAATTCTTTGAAAAACTCACTTCATTGTCCAAAATTATGGAGGCTATTTTGGCTTTTTAATCGAAGATAGAGTCTTCATTATAGGACCTTCTATTTGGACTGGGCAAGCAGTCCATTTCTAGAGTGTATTTCATAAAAACAGCCAGTGGCCAAGTCTCATCAACAACTATATCCGAAAGGAAGTGCTGTGCAGTATGTATCTAGAAAGAGCATCAGTCCTTGCCGGCTTGTCTGCTCTCCCTGTCCCTTTAGTCTTTGGGGTGAGTAAATGAGTGTGGGCAAAGTCTCCGGGAAGTTAGAAAATCTTGCACTCATTAATGGAGAAGAACCTCCTTCTGTTGCGTCTCCTGGCTTGGTTGACAGCAGTTCGGACGGCACACTCAAATACCTGCTGAACCCCTCGGTTGCTAAGGGCTGAGCACTCTAGATAGCCCTTTGCTCTCACTTCCTGGGCCAGTTTCTTTCCTTCTATGGCATTGACGCAGGAGGCCCTGTGGGGCCCCACCTCTCGCTGGTCAGTCTGAGTAGCCACCACCAGCACAGGTGTGCAGGGCAAGTTGCTCCTGATTTCACCAATCCACTTGTTCTTCAGGTTCAGGAAAGAGGTATGGTTGGCTACAGAATAGCACATCAGCACCACGTCTGCCTGCTGGTAGGACAGGGGACGGATGCTTCTGAAGGCATCGTTGCCCGCTGTGTCCCAAAGGCCCAGGCTTATCTGGATGCCATCCATGAAGACGTCCACACCTGTGTTCTCATACACCGTGGGCTTGTAGGCCTCCGGGAAGGTCTCTGAAGTGAAGCGCACCAGCAGAGAAGTTTTCCCCACAGCAGAATCTCCCACCAACACACACTTGATGGAACTCAGCATCTTCCCAGCCTGGATTCTGGGTTACAAGTTCAGAATCCCAAGTAAAAGGGCCCTCAGTGGGCTGCTGAAGCAAATGCCATTCAACACAAGGAATAAAAACCAGATGGGGTTTCTCAGGACCTCTGACAGCAATTCTCCTCGTCCATCCGAGGGAGACACAATCTACGTTGAAAAGCTTCAACGGCTAGTCTTCAACTGCAACAGAGAAAACAAGGTTGGGGGGGTGAGGGGTGGAGGGAATTGAGTCTTTCTTTTTCCCTTTTCAATGACGGGGAACTTCCTCATTGGCAAACTGATTAAACACGCCCACCTCCGTGTAGCCAGTCCAACCCACTGTCCACTCACTCTTCCCTTTGGCAAGAAAAGCTAGGCACATGCCCCAGCACAGACACCCACAACCCCACCCAGTAAGAAGCAGAAGCTGATTTTATCTCTAAATCAGGCTAATGATAAAAATACCAGTAACTGCTCCAATATCAACACGAAAAAGACCTCAATAGCAACCTGATGTGTGAATGTGGTGTCTTCAAACAGCTCTCTCTTGGCTTCTGCTCCAAGAAGTGGAGAAGGCAGCAGACAGCAGCTTCAGTTTCTAACGGACCCCAGCCACTTCGGGAACTGCAAGAAAGAGAAATGCAATGAGTGACAATGTAGGCACTTCTCTTCATTTATTGATTAATCCACCAGTCCTTGGTTTACGTGGGAATTCATGCTGAGGTCAGAGAAAAGAATCCACCAGAACTCTAAAATTTTGCTGTGATTTTTCTTTTCAGGTTTTGTCAAAAACTGGCTACAGATGTAATAGAGAGAGCACTGTCCTTGGCGTTTTCTGCATCTGAAATCAGGCTCCGTAACCAATACGACGACATAGCTTTGAGCATGTGACTTCATCTCCAAGCCTCTGTGTACACATCTGCAAGAATGCGATAAACTGAGGAACCACTTCTCAGAGATGTGGTGAGGATTAAATTAGTTCTTTCTTTCCAACGTTTCGAAACAGCTACGTATGCACCAGGAACACCACTGGGCCCTAGTCATATAAAATAACTGGCTTAAAAGCAAACATATTCAGTGCCTGTCTCTTAAACAGGACTGTACAAATATGACAGCATCTGAATTTCGAGAAAGGGTCAAATAAATTCTCATTCACTGCAGGTGTAAGAGCTCCAGACAATGAGATCAGCTTTGGAGACGGTGTCCCTTCCACTCAGGGACATCATCACAGGACAGACCAGCTTCAGACGAAGGAAAAATCTTTCAGACCAAAATTCAGAGTAAAGGTTATTAATGCAATATGGGCTTATAACCTCCCCCACAGGCTGTCTTCCTGACTTGTTATATGTAAAGCAATGTAAAATAGACCCATAGGTCTGCTTCAAAACGTAACTTTTTTTCTTAAATTTTTTTTTACATTTATTTATTTTTGAGAAACAGAGTGAGACAAAGCTTGAGCGGGGGAGGGGCAGAGAGTGAAGGAGACACAGAATCTGAAGCAGGCTCCAGGCTCTGAGCAAGCAGTCAGCACAGAGCCTGATGCAGGGCTCGAACCCACGAACTGTGAGATCATGACCTGAGCCAAAGTCGGACGCTCAACCGACTGAGCCACCCAGGCACCCCAAAACATAATTTTTTAAAAAATCACTCCTCTAAATCCTGACATTCCCTTCCGGGAAATTTTTGTTCTTATCAACCCGTAGTTTCTGTTTGTTTAATTAGACATAACAGCATTTGCAAATAAGTTAATCAAATACATAATTCACATGATTTTCGCATTTTCACTTTTTTAACGATATGTGAGCTGGGTGACCTTGGCCAAATTACTTAAACTCTCAGAGTCCTGGTTTCTTCATAAAAATGAGAATAAGAAAATTACCTCTTCATGAAATTATTGTGAGTATGCAGCTTGTGGAGAGGCTGTCTTAGCATAGAACCTGGCATGTGGGACCTATAGGGAACCGTCATGTTATGTATTTCCACTACAATTTATTTAAAATGCCAAATATTGAATGTCTGTGGCATGGGGGCTGGGATGTCAAATGTTCAGCTGGACTCTGTCTGAAGACTCACACTGGGTCACTCATGCACTATGGTCCTTGACCTCTTTGTCACCAGACCTTTGAGCAAAGTCTCCCCTGGGGGGCTCTGTCAGGTCTCAGACCTTAGCTCTTTAGAACTATAGATGACTTAAATATACGCGTTTGTGATCCTCTCATTACTTGGTCCAGAGCCAAGACCTTTTAAGACATTTTTGAGTTTCATTTTGATGCCAATGAAGCAGAACTGGAGCTAGGAAAAAATGTGCATGTGTCAGGCTTTTGGTTATTAAATAAAATCTTTCTGATAGATTGATTGGGTAAAAGCCAAATTTCCTAAGTAAGTATCTGCAAAAAGAAGTAGATGAGGCGAAATTGTTGAGAACACCACTTTAAAGTTGGGTGGATCTGGAGTTGAATCCGAGCTCCCAACTGACCACCCATGCAACAACCTTAGCAGCGTTTCTTAATGTCCCTCAGCCTCCATTTCCTCCTCTGAAAATTGTTGTAATAATATCTACATCATGGGGTTGCTGAAAGAATTAAATGTGCTTAGATGTATACACTCCTTAGCACAGAGCAAGACTCCTGGGTGGAGGTTGAGTGTCTGACTCCGGATTTTGACTCAGGTCATGATATCACAGTTTATGAGATCGAGCCCCACCTTGGGCTTTGTGCTAATTGCAAGGAACCTGTTGGGATTCTCTCTTTCCCTCTCTCTCTGCTCCTCCCCTACTTGAGCTTTCTCTCTCTCTCTCTCTCAAAATAAATAAATAAGCATTTGAAAGAATCCTTAGCAAATGTAAACATATTATATGTACATAGTCAACACATAGCAAACATACAATAAGTAGTCCTTACTACTAATAGCATTGTTAAATAATAATTACTAAATGTAATGCTAAACAAATATTAATTATAAGTGAGGAATTTGAAGTGGCACTATAGAGTTTTCTCTGCCAAAGAGTGCCCTGTGTATCTTATACCAAGCCATCGTGACCAAAAAGAGGGGGATTTCTTCTTGTAGCATGAAAACAAAAATATCATGTGAATAAAGAAATTCCTGTCTGAGCTGTTCCACCTAGCAAGAGTCAGTGACCTTCATTCTTAGCCAGTTCTAACACCCCGAGGCACATCAAATCAGTTCTCAGGGCCTCAGTTTCCCAAATTATAAAGTAATTTGACAAAATTAGCTTTCTCTGTGGTTCTATTAGAACGGAGGCCACGAGGGAAAATGTTATTACCTGCCTCGGTGAAAACAAGAACGTAAACCTCTGTATTACTCCATAGCAGTAAAGGCAGATGATAAACTTTGATGACACACGTAGCCTTCAGCAGATGGCTAAATATGGAGCTGGGAGAGGGGAGGGGAGGGGCTCCAGTCCATGTTAGAGCAATACCCTATATAGACATGAGAGATCATCTCCAGTCAGTGTGTCACATGTACCCACAAAAGAGCCGTTGTGGGTCCCATAGTCAGTGTGGAAGGCTGATGGGCTTGATTTCAGTGGAATTTCTCCCTTTAGGAGAAACTAATGGACCTGTAGGTGAAAAATAGATGTGGGTTTCAGTGGTACTGCACAAGTGGCCAACCGGCAGGGATGACCCACTTATGTGTCCCTCCACACAGAAGAGTAACTGAGAGCGAATTCAGATGGCATCCTGAGTAACACCACCAAGTGACCCTTTGAGGACTTAAGTCACACTGGAATCCACGACCTTTTAATCTCAGAAGCTCTCAGTTCTCAGTAACTTGATTTTTGCCCCCTTTCTCTTTTTTTTCACCATTTTCACAGAAAGTACACCTTCCACAGGCCCGGATGTTCACACATACAGAGGAAAGAGGGGAGTGAGGCTTCCCCTCGCAAGGGCAAGTGGAAGGATCTTCTGTCTACTGCAGCAAAAGAACAAAAGCAGACAAAAAGGAGGGCATAGGGATGAGGTGTCCTAATTCGCCTCATCTCCTGGAAAGCTGAGGGACATCCAGTAGGAAATCCTGGTTTCACTTGGGCCTCAATTCCCATCCCAACTAACGGGTGCCTGCTCTTCCGTACTGATGTTTCTTCAGACAAACTCAGTGCATCTCTATTTGCCTGCGAAGACCTGCCCCTCACTCACCCCCCAGCTCCCACCTCTTCTTGAAAATGGTTTCTGATGATCTGACCTACTGCTGGATCAGGCGTTCCCCTCTGTCTTCTCATAATCTGTCCCCATGAACCTCTCATGTGACCTTCGTCACACCCCGATAAAGAAGTTGGTCCTCTTACGCTTATCCCTCCTCTATAAAACCAGAATAAGATCTGCCTGACCTTCCCTGCAGGAAGCTGATATGCATCAGGTGGAAATTATAACAACACAGCAACAATTCGTGTTTGTACTTCTACACAACTGTGCATTTAGAAGTCTTCTCTCCTTTATTCTGTGAGACAGCTCCTTAGAACAACAGAGCAC